GTGTACTGATTCTTTGCTTTTTGTTGTTTGAGCCTTATTGGCTAATAGCCCCATACTTGTAATTAACCCTATAAAACCTCATGTGCACGTCTTGGAGGTGCTCAGAACTTCGGAACAGAAGCCCCTCTGAGCCCGCCGGCGTAATAAATGTCAGTACTCCAACCCTCTGAGTAGTGCCTGTTTCTTGGCTGGCCTTTTCTTTCCGTAACAACACAAGCTATAAAGCCCGTGAGATAAATCTGCGTTGGCTGCTGGCAGGTCCCCATGTCTCACGTGGGAAAATCTGAAACATCCTTCTCACCACTCAGAGTCATCATAAGCCCACCCCACACATCCCGCCCTTAAATGCAGGAGCACAAGCAGGGCCCGGCCTTTGCTGTCTATGTGTCATCACAGTGAGGTAGGATGGAAGGGGGAAGAGCACAGCCATTCAAGGAAGGCCACAGCAATTAACATCAAAATGGTGAAGGATTCAACCCCCAATAGGCCTTGAGGCTCAGAATGAAGTGATTTAAATTCTAGCAGATCTTGAGCTTCATTAAACACCCATTGTAATAGTAACATGGTGAATAACATGGCCCAGGCACCATGGCAGTCCCAAGGCTAGCCACAAAAGGTCACAGAGTGGGAAATGGCCAACTCCCTGGGAATCACAGCCCCTTGCCCTAAGGCTGGTCCTTCTACTTATTAGCATATGAAACCACCAAGCCCAAGAAAACAAGCAACACAGAGCCACCTCGTGGTCACCACTCTCACTCCCTCTTCGGAGAAGGCCCACACTCTGTCGGTGGAGTGTGTCCCTACTTTTAATCTGAGCACCCAACCCCCATACCTCATTACGTTTCTCTTGCCTTTCAATGTATCTCTCTGAATAAATCTACACTTACTCAACACTGGCTTGCTCTTGAATACTTTAATGCATGAAGCCAAGGAACAAAATCTGGTGGGGCAAATCCCAGGGGCTCAATCAAAGCCTGGGACACAGCCCTTCTCGTGCCCCACGTTTTTTTTTTTTTTCTTGTATCAACAGGACTGGGTTGTGAAGGGAGGTCCGAGGCCCCAGCTAAGGGACAGAAGCAGCCTCCAGGGCTCCAATTGGCGGGCAGCCTCTCCCACAGCAAGGGCCTTGGGGTCTGCCCGGTTCTCTGTGTTTCCCTGTTGGGCTGACTCCCCAGCCAGAGAGTGTTCTCCTAGGCCTGGCTCCACAATACCCTTCTCTACAAAATACAAGCACATCATGTCACAGTCCTCTTGTTTGACCAGGAAATGTTCAGCCCACTTTTTCCCTCACCAGTAAAGTACCCAACTCTCCTCCCTCCCATCCCACCACTTCTTTTTGTGAGAACTCTGCACTCTCCACACACCATCCTGAACGCAGGTGCCTTACTGGTTTGGACCGAGAGATTTCTTCCTCACACAACCTGCGTCCTTTCACTTTCCCCTTTTTACCTTAAAAAAGCCTTTCCTGAGTCTCCGACCCATCTGACTCTGAACTTCAAAAAGTGCTGAGGTTACAGTCACTATGTGCACACCTCCCAGGTTTTGGCTAGGTTTCCTTCACAAGATCTTCATTAAGGAGCTGCATCAAGAAGTTTAAAGAGGCTATTCTTACATCTGAGCAGAGGAGCCTGCAAAAAAGTTAAATGGCTTTGAAGAGAGAGTTAACCAGGGACAGAGAGGTCGCAGGTCCTAGTCAACAGTGTCATGAGGCAAAATGTTCCTCAAAGGCTCAGAGTGGCTTCTGAATGCGGAGTCGGCAGGGAGGTGGTGACAGGCAGTGAGTGGGGTGAGTGATAAACGGTACGCTCCACAAGCTGGGGAAGAATTGGATTTTTTTCTAGTTTTCCAAAAAATGTCTTACTACCTTTTTCTCTTATTGTCACATACCATTTCCTACGAATTAAGAATATCAATGTCAGTCACTTGGGCCGCTTGGGAGAAGCTATACGATGCCATTCACAGGGCTGGGACATAACAGCCACACCATTCTAGGTTGAAAGACCAGTGGGGTTTTTCCAAGGTAATCACGGGCATGCAGCAAACTCCGCAGCTTCAATGACCTCATCTCAAAGCTGGGGCAAATAAAACTACCAAGCAAAGTGTGTGATGATTATGGCCGACATCTGTTTACTAGGTAAGTGCCCGTGACAGCTGCCGCTTAATGGGGAATGAGTATGATTAACAAGGCCCAGTCTACCTGGCCACACGCGCCCTGCCTTCCTGCCTTGGTGCAGCAGCAGAGCTTGTATAGCTGAGATGAACGCCCCCAGAGCAGCCCCGATGGGAAAACTCCCAGCTCTGCGCGACGAGACGTGTTCCTTTCCTTCTCAGAGCTGATCACAGTTTGCGGTCGTGTTTTTATGTTTATCCCTTTTGTAACTGCCTCTCCTCCGGAGCTTTTTCTCAAGAAGCACAGGGCCAGGTGTGTCTTGCGGCCTGCCGGATATTCTGGGCTGGGAAACAGCCGACCCCACATCTGGCTCTGGTGCTGAAAGGAGAGGGCAGAAGGCCCAGGGGCCCATGCTGAACCGAGGCCACTGTACCCAAAATTATGGTCTGACTTTGAGCAAATTGCACAGTTTTTTTACCCTGAGA